AAACCAAAACCTCCATGTAGCTAATACGTTTAGTGTCGACTGAGGCAGGACCCAAAATAAATTATGCACATGGGCGATAAATAACAGATGAACGACATTTTCGCGTTTCAGTAGAAAACTGTACATGAATGGAGACAAATATGGCAAGCTATTACTCAACAAAAGACAAGATAGCAAACATTGTAGCCTCTTTCAGGTTTCTTCTTTTATTAGAATTCTCGTCTTGATTAAAGGCAGAAACAGGCTTTCTGACGCTTGATTATATTTATGTTAATAACATATTAATAAATATACGATATTAATTACGTTTCTAATGCTGTATTCTTAATGTCATTAATCATGTTTAGCAGTTTATAAATGGCCCTTCAAAATGTTGCTGAAAACAATCTCAGTTTTTTTATTTGAAATTCCACCAATGAATTATACATGATAGCGAATACTCACAAAGATGTTTAACCGCATTAAACTTCAATTAGCATCTAATGGAAAAATAATTTTTATAGCTGTCTAACGTAGATAGCATAACCAGTTGAAAACGGAAGATTTATGGGTATAGAAAAAGAGTTTTACTAACATAAGGAAGAATAATTATCTCAGTTTTAACTTAAAGCTAAGAATGATTTACCATTAACATTTCTTTTTGTAAATCATTCCTTTTGTTAAGGAATTACGTAAAATAGCTGTGGTGTACAACACATGACACCGTTGTACGGAATACTAAATTATATGCATTTTTTCACGCATTTCATTTAAACTTATTGAATTGAATTAAACCTAGTTCGTCGATAGCGCATAAACCACAACAGAATAAATGCTCTTTTTAAAATTCACTACATTTATTTACCATAGCCACACTCTGGCGCTACGTTCATTTAACAACGTTACATCTAATTCATTTTATAAATCAGAATGCGCAAAAATTATGCCATCTGAAAGATTATCTAATAGTCGCCACGTGTTCTATTCAAATGCTATAATGAATCTAAAACGATGTATAAAAAGAAATTAAACAAATAAAAAAGAAACAGTTTTTCACACACGATTCAGCGCCGCTTACCTAATGCGCATGCGCTACTTGTAAAAATTCTGCTCTGTCCGAGACAGAATGGCGACAATATTTGCTGCTAATACGAAACACTTATATAGAAACACAATGCACTCAGATATATTTCTTATTCAATTAATTCAGCTCTCACTTCGCGACAGGGCAAAAACACATAAAAACTCAAACTATTTTCATTAAAACTGAAAGATATAGAAAAACATAAAACACCAAGTAGTTAAAACAATTAAAAAAACAGTTTTACAATTAAACTTACAGTTTCCACGCAAAAACAAGCAATTAGGTCAGCAGGCAAGAAGGCAGATTTTTCGGTGCACAAAACTAAAAATTTCCTTTTAGTCTCACTCGACAAAAAGACACTGAAAGTGCAGAAACAGTTAATTCACTATGCTGATAAGCTTTTAGTGTAAACAAATATGGCTGCTATCGTAACAAGAAATCTGATATGTATACCACACGACTTGTAGGGAATATTAAATTATATGCAATTTCCCTGCATTTCATTTAAACATATTGAATTAACAGTTAACGAATTTCCAAATAAACCTTCTTGGATAGCGCATAAACCACAATAGAATAAATGCACTCTTTAAAGTTCACTATTTTATTTACCATAGCGACACTTCTCCGCTAGGTTCACGTAACAGCATTACATCTCATTCATTTTATAACTAAGAGTGCACAAAAATTATATCATCTGAAGAATTACCACGAGTTCTATTCAAATACGATAATAAATTTAAAAGGATGCATAATAGCAATTAAAAAAATAAAAAAGAAACAGCATTTCGCTGACGATTCAGCGCCGTAAACCTAATGCGCATGCGCTACTAATTAATTCAGTTCTCACTTCGTGGCAAGGCAAAAATATATAAAAATTCAGAATATTTTCAGTAACATTTGAGAGCTATAGAAGGACATAAAACACCAAATACAGTTAAAACAATTAAGGGGAGTTGGAACCCCAAAATCTTCAAAAAATTATGATTTCGGATTTTTGCATTTTCAAATTTTCTACACTTTTATCTTTCTAAAAATACCATTCTTTAATCTCTATGAAAATTAGAACTGTAAAAAAATATAGTTTTAATTTGTCATCTACTGCTTTGATCAATGAGGATTTTTACATAAAAACGCATTTCTCTCCAATTGTGATTTTTTTATACTCGATGTACCTTTTCTCAGGAACTACTGCTCACAGGTATCTAAACTTTTTACAGCTTATTTTTTAGGTTTCCTAATATTTACTGAAATGAGCTTTCTGTAATAAACTTAGAAAAAAAATTTAATTTTTTTTGTGTGAGAAAAGTACTAAATTTTACTATGCCTAACAAAATATCCTGTAATTTCCTCTAAAATTCAAAATGTTTCAAAAGCTCATTTCAGTATAATCAAATAGGTATACTTTAATTACAGAAAAAATTTCGAGCTTGTATCTAGAGCAGATTTTGAGAAAAGGTACATCGAAAATGGCCAATTTAACATTGTCAGGATAAGGGTTTCTGATACCCCTTAAAAAACAATTCTTACAAATAAAATTACAGTTTCCACGCCAAAACAAGCTAATAACTTAAATGACAGTTCCAGAATGAATTAAGCATAATTTAATTCGGAATAATAAAAGAAGACGTTACTTTATTGCTGCGAAGCTTAGTTTCTCTAGATTGGCAACAAATCCACTATTCTGCTAAGATTCAAATGTAAACAAACACGGCTGCCATGGTAATCAAAAATTAGGCTTAGCCGCACTTAAAAAAACTTTTAAAATGTTGATAATTCCGCAATTATTGCATGCAGGTTAATAAAAGCATAACAATCTTAACCAGAACAATATAATTCAATCAATTTTAAAGCAAAAAATGCTGAATTTACAAACATATAAGAACGCAGAAACTGAGCTGATTAGCCGAATAATAGAGTGTATATATATATATATACTTTTCTTGCGGCCGTTTGCTACCCAAATGGTAGGTGCACAACTACATGGTATAGGAGTCCTATATACAAATTTTCAACGTTCTTAGACTACTCATTTTTTAATTATACGAGATACATACATACGTACGTGCGAGATACAAATGTCCGAGCATGGCCTTAGCGTGTCCAGTCAGGGTGCACTACAATAAATGGTTAGTGCAGTGGGGCGATACCAGTTTTGCATATGGCGATGTTTTGGTGCCTCCTGTACTTCTTTCTGTCTGTCTGCTCAAACCATATACTAGGTGTAAGGCCCCTATGCTAATATCAAATGCAAGTAAGTGACGAGCGGTCTCCCTAGAGCCTCCAGACACGTGTACGACCCCCAGAATACTGTTCGAATAACCGGGACTCGTCTGGAAAGACGACGTTGCGCCCCTTCTGCAGCCAGCTTTGTCGTTCGGCGCACCAGAGTCGCTATCTCTCTCTATACTGCATTGTAAAAGGGAGGCCGAATTAGTGGTTGTCGTACTGGTACTCCACGTTGCTGAAAACATCGACGTACCGTACGAGCGGACACTAGGCGTGTTGCAAACACACCCAATTACTGGCTAATGATCCGTGATGTGGTTGCACGGTTGACCTCACAATACTATATCTGTCCTCTCGGTCGTTATTCATGGGAGAGCGTTGAGATCCTGCATGCTGTTCAGTATGACCCTCAGCAGTCCATTGGTTCTATATTCGCATGACAGTGGTTCGATGTCGACTAGAGAGACTGGCGATATCGTGGAAGGATAGTCTGCACTTTCGATAGGCAACGATCCTCTCTCTATCGAATTTCGAAAGTTGCTGGTAAGCATTTTCGCTTCTTATTCGAGGTATAACACGATATTCTGAGCAAACTCCAACTTTAAAATGCAATTTCCGAATGAGAAATCCACTAGACAGCTTTTCTTTTATGCAGTGCTTCAGATGTCCTTTTTCCCTCCTACGTCGTCCGAATATGCTGAAATACTAATTATTTGCATATCCCAATTTCTTTCTTTCATGTGATTTTAACTTTCGTCGGATAATTTCCCCGTGCTGTGTACATTAACTCCATTTTAACTATAACGCATCATGGATTTTTGTCTTTTTGTGTACAAAATAAGGCTCTGGTTTTTGATAGATAAATTCAATTATTAAAATTTAATGCATGTGACATGTTGTTTTCACGAACTTTAGAATCAGGGTCAAAATCACCTTTTTAATTTTCCTGAATCCTTATATTTTCTGTTTTAAAGCTGGAAGCAAAGGCTGTTTATGAATTATTACAGCTATAAAACTATTAACAAAAATAAAAAATTCCGCAATTTAAATTTAATTTGCGAGTTTTTTTAAAAAAGCATATATTTTAATACGTTGATGAAGTTATTTTAGTAATTCGACGAAAAAAATTTTATTTACATTTTAATTACATTTTTTAATCATGTAAAAGTAATAGTCTGATTTCGCTATATTTGATTATAATTATTACACGCGAATTTCATGAGAGTTCCTTTCCTACTAATATTGTCTTAACTATAGATTATCACATATAGGTTAACTATCATCAGCTTTTAAGTTATGAAATTGAAATTTAAGAAAAAAATTCAGATAACTTATATGATGTCCTAATTTAAGAAAGAAAACTCTTCAGAAACGTATCAGAAAACATTCGTTTTATATTTTCAATTATAACACGTAATTAAAATGTTATGTAGATATTAAAACATAGTCTAGATACGTAATCCTTTGTAATATTTTCATCGTACTTTAATCTTTTCCTTGATGTTTGGAGTTATGAACAACCGTATTCATATTAATAGCACGTATACAAATCCTTCACTTTATAATTTTAATTATTTATTATTGAAATGCTGAAATTTTTACATTTACATGATGAATATTTAAATACAAAATATTATCTTAATGCGAAATTATGACGTAAAAGATTCTTTGCTATTGCATCTTTGTTTAGATACTGATATTCTTTCAGGTACAACATCGTATTCCTGATCGTAACATACGTTATTCCAATGGGTTGCATGGCTGTCACGTATACTTGGGTAGGCTGCGTTCTGTGGGGAAGTAAAGTCATTGGTGAAAATACAGATCGTCAGAATGAAGTTGTCAAATCAAAGCAAAGGGTAAGGGTCTAAGTTTTTGTCTTAGTTATGATTATTTTTTTAATTTCAAATCAGAATGTATTGTTTTTTATCAATGATAAGTATGTATTCTGCTACGTATTATGAATAGATTGTGTGTGTATTCAAAAATTGTTTCACATAAAAGGCAAAGTATTATGCACATTAATGAATTTTTTCCAGCCTTTTCAGATCGTTAGGATGCTTAAATAATGCATAGTTTATCTTAAGAGTTTTACGTTTTTAATATACTAAACAGGGTGATCTGTGGATTTCAATTATAGCATTATTTGGTATACATATCAGAATAACCAGCGCAGCATTTATTTAAAGAAATTTGCTTTAAGATATTTAGCATACGCATAAAATAACAATAATGAAATTCTAAAAGCCTGAAACTATTTATGATTAAGAAGTCTCGTCTGATGTTTGCATTTGAATAACAAAGGATGGAATTATGCCATGCCAGTGAATATTGATTAATCGAAGCCAGTTAATAGTATGAATTATCCTTCACTTTAATGCAAATACTTTAGCTGTAAATGAATTAGTTATAAATAACGATTTGATACTGATCATGTATTACTCACTTTTATGACTGGTGTGAATACTAGAATTGTAATTGTTATTTATAGAAGGGTATTTTAATAGGAATTTAATATGTTAATTCATTTACTGGAGATTAGGATATATAAAGGACCAAAATTTTATTTGATTCCATAGCTTCTTGTTTCTTCAAAAAGTGTTTTAAAAGCAAGCATGTAAGCATAAAAAACTCTCATTTTACTTTATTTGTTATTTTTGCTAAAATGTCATCAGAATGTATACATATAAATTACCTCAAAAGGTATCAGATATCATCAGAACAAATGCATTTAGATGCTTTAGTTCTAAGAAAGTAATGATATTCTATATATTTTAAAGAGAATATTGCCCTATAAATTCATTTTGCTAGTTTCCGAAATGTTTTTATATTTATATATATATATATAAAAAAACGGTTAATTTGAGGTTTTACAGAAGGACGCGTAAATATATTCCAGTGCTTGCTAGTTACGCTTTTCTTCTGCGGATAATATATGTTTAGGCTCCAAAATGGTAATAAAAAAACCGGTAAAGCAACATTTAAATTTTGGGAACTCGAAAAGTCTTAAAACAAGAATCACGGCTGAAAGCAATAGTAAAGTGAAACCGATCAATTTGTTTAATGGTAAACATAGTAAACGTCTCAAAGAAGCTATTTCCCGGCAATTTTATTTTTCGAAACATATACGTAGTTTAAATATATTTAGAAGTCAATTCAAAGAAGGGGATTTAAGTATCTGAGATTTGTCTTCTGAAATTCATTATTTAATGGGTCGTTTCCAAAAACAGATTTTCGTAATATTTATTTCAAGAACGCAGTATATGCTGAAAGGTTTTCCAGCATTCTCTTTCTTATTGTTTGAGAAGGTAATCCTTTAGGGCCAAAAGAGCAACAAATTGAGACAACAGTATTAGTTTGATAAGGTAGTCTTATAACACCGTAAATCATTCTGCATTTTTTTTTAAAGAAAATTACAAAAGAAAAGATATAATGTAATATGACCTTTCAATATTTAATCTTGCTAGGTTGAATGCATTATACGCAAAAGAAAATTAAGTTACAAAAATGTATTCGCTTGTGTAAAGTTATCTGAAATTAAGACCATTCGCTTTTAATACAGGCATTAAGCAATAAGTGATGAACTATTAGGCTACTCGTATACGTTGTATGTACTCGTAGGTTTTGTGAAAGTGTTTTAAGGAAGGTGTGTGTGTGTGATTATGGCAAAGCCTCGAGGGTTATCTGCCTAAGAGGAGGACTTTCTAAGGGAAACTGACTCGTATATACGTTACACATGGGGAAAACAACGAAAACGCCCATGCAGCCAGCCCGTTCGCGGGATTCGAACCTCGGACCGAACTACCAGTGTTCAGCGACTTTACCGCTCGGCCGCTGGTGGGCCTGTTTTAAGGAAGGAAATTTGTCTTATGTTCAGCAGGGTATTTTCTGAATGACTTGATGACTCTAATTCCAATTCTGTTTCTTTCGAAGCTAATTTTTTCAGGTTATGCCAGCTTATATGTTACATAGTTTGTAATTTTCGTGTGTTAAGAAAAATTTCTTATATAAATTCATTAGTTTTCTTCTTATATATATGTTCTTATATAATAATTCTTATATAAGTTCATTAGCTCATTAGCGTAGAAATTCATTATCAATTTTAAAATATGAAATATGCAAAATTAGCAGCAAATTCACTGTGATTCCAATCGGGTATCTTCCAACTGTTAGTTGGAACTCCAGCCTGGGGGGTCGACTGAGGGGAACAACCATCAGACCTGTACTTAGGCAAACTCGCCTCGTTGGGTACATAATCAGGCTTCACTGGTGGTTCGTTCAAGCGCGGCAAGGACCGTAACAGTACTGTCAGGTGTGCCTCGGGTTGTGTGATCGCTACATGGTCGATAATAAAGGCTCTCTTCCAGGTTAGCCTATGTTGGTTAGCGCAGGGGATTGACTTTGCCAAGCATTCTCTTTACCTTAAGTGACCAGCGAGGACTCATCGCCCTATCTTGCATACATATGTAACCCGAACTTAGAATGCAAGGCTTTGCATTTTTCTTTTGTCGCCCGTGATTGACAACTAGTGGCTTTCGCCCCCGTGGATTGCCTCTGGATTTCAGGTGTCATATACCATGTTAAGCACTCCTAATAGCCTAGGTCAAGCAGTCTCTTCTCTCTAGTATACTGTACTAGTGCACTACCGTTAGTTGGAAAGGCTAATCACATACACTACTATTGCACACACTAGAGAATGCAATAAATTCTTATATATCCGTTTAGCTTATTTTTAAGTGTATATACGTTTATTAGTGAAAAAATGAACAAAAATAAAATCTGAATATTAGCTTATGATAATAGAGTTTAAGATTTACAAAATAAGTTTTTGGTCAAACGTTTTGCTTTCATCAAGATCATAATCACCAATCATGTCCTAAAGATAAATGTGCGTTATGTCCATTTATGTATCGAAATTGTTTACCTATGTCCCTAATTGTAGACGTCTTTCGTATTTAATAATTATATCTTCCGTATAATTGTCAGGGAGTGAATCCAAAAATGACGTTTGCTTGAGTAGAGATCTCAAATTTTAATTTAACACGTTAGCTCTGTGAAGAAAGCGGAGATTTGAATGAATTGATCTTTCAAACTTTTAATATCCTATGAATAGAAAAATAAGACCCGCAAATACAAAAATAATATAAATATGACATGTATATAATTGGAATAATAATAAGAAGATAAAATGCAGGAGGTGAACAAGAGAAGGAGCAGTTTGTCATTTCGAGTCTGATAAGCTAATTATTACAAAATGTGACTGAGTTAAACGGTTGCAGAGTTCCTGAAACATTATTTTAATTGGTGTCTGCAAAAGTAATCAACATTATGTAAGGAGTAAGAAATGTCTTTGCTTGCTTAAAACGTTATGTCTTCCACATTTACGACTGAAAAACTAATGGAATGCATGCTCACTTCTGTAAGAAAATAAAATTTTGCTCTTTCGATCTTCAAAAAATGATTACATTTCAAATCGCATTTTAGTTTATATTTTCTAGTACAGGTTATTTCTGTTAACTGTTATTTCTGTTAACTTTTCTCTGTTTATCAAATACAATTTATCAAGTACGTTTTAGAGAAAGTTAAGACCTTATATTTTATGTTCAAATATATACTAAAATAATAAGACCGAAATTAATTTATTTCTATATATTTTGCCTGAGGTAATACCGTCAATATTTATTATAATTCTATTCATAATGTTGCGTGCGGACGGGTTCGTCATGAATTGAATGCGCAAGTGCGATGAAAAATGAATAAGATTTATTATTATCACAGCAAATAAAACAAAATGCTTAAATTTCCTCAGATATTCGTAAAATATCCCAATATCTCACAGTAGTTATCTTTTAAACTACTAAAAACGTTAATTCAAAGCAGAGAAACGTAGAGAAAGCTAATCCGATGTCACTGCGAATTCGCTACAGTAAACAACAGCAGTTTTCTAAATAAATCTCATAAAATAACCAACGTATTGAGAGGTTTTTCATGCCGCTTATATAAGCTTTCTAAATGCACGGGAATGTTATCGTATTTTCTCGAAAAACAAAAACGTACAATTACGAAATATCTATTCATTAAATGCGCGTGCGCCTCTATTTTTAATTTTTTTCAGCTTAGCTTTCTCTTCAAATTTGTCACGCGCAGCATTGCACGGGGAAATGAAACAATTTAATAACAATTCTGTTAAAATATCATATTAAATACAAAAATCGTAACACTGCCCCCTTCCCAAGGACTGTACGTCCGGGCTGTACAATTCCTGGTTAGGAAGCCAAACTTACAACTAAGGCAACAATAAGCATTTTGTTGCAGTAACAAACAGCAATAATTGCAATAGCAACTTAAAACAATTCAAATACTATCAAATACTAAATACAAGTCAAATCAAATACACATTTAGAAACTAAAAGGACCGTGGTCTTATCAGGTTCTGTGTTCCTCCTTACTTGCTTAGGGAACATTAACTGTCCTGACTCGGAACAGGGAGCTTACTAAAGCTATGTTCAATAAATTTGGGAAGTAGACAATACACACAGAAAGGGTATACGAAACCCTTTATTTTTCTCTCTTTACAATGATTTCCGGACTTCGGAATACAGAGACCAACCACTTGCGGTCTGAACGTAAGAATATAAAAATATTAACTAAACTCTAACTAAACTAACTTTGGATTAATCAAAAAGTGCCTAACTCAAAGATTGGCCATATATTAACAAAAAGCCGTATGTAGTACAGAGAACTGCTAACACTACGATACGTTTAAAATTATCAAGAGGATTAAACCTCTGGCCTTGAAGGCAACCAGCAACCGAGTGAAACTACTATGGCAAGCGGCTTGCTTATAGTAACTCCTTCC